ACCCCCCAGCCAGGCGCCACCTACCGATGCGCCTACCATACCTGATCCCCATTTCTCCGCCACTCCTCTCTCCTCTCCCCACCTTGCCCCCAGCTCCCCACCATTGACCCAGGGATACGGCCAGGCACATCCACTGAGGGTTCCAGCGACTCCCTCCAAGTTCCCCAATCACTTGGAGCTGTGGAGGAAAGGACACCGGGGTCTTCTTCGACCCTAATCAAGCTCCAGAGTCATAAGGTGAAATAACCTCGGAAACACTATGGGGGAGGTCCAAAGTGGGTAAGGAGAGAGGAGCAGGAGAACACCGAGCACCGTGGGGGCGGGGACTGACACCTAGAGTCTGCAGCCACTTCCACTAAGAGCAAATAGAAGAGCCGGGTGAGAGAGGGCTCTCGAGAGACCCAGTGACCCCTGGCCCCCTCCACCACCTCTGCTACCAGGTACTCAATAGTTTCCCTGGGGGTTAGGGGCCTGAAACCAGCCCCCCCACACACACACATCGCGCCTAGGGCTAGGTTTAGAAATGCATCAAGCATTTTGAGTAACTGCGCTCGACCTGCCAGCAGGAGAGAGCAGGCGACAAGAAAAGCTCCCGAAGTGATTCTCGCTAGAGTCCCAAAAGGTTACCAGTTCATCCCCTCTCTCTCTCCGCATCGCGCGCTTTGAGATCAGGGCTAGAGAGATATCCAAAAGAGCCATCCCCCTTCACCCCACCTAGTCCTAGTACCTCGGGGTGGGGGTTGGGGGGAAAGAAAACTGACACCCGCTATTGCCAACCTTTCCCAGTAAGAGCCTGGGGCTGGGGGCAGCCCGGAACCCCGCCCTCCCAACAGAAGCCCTAGCTCCTAGGGCAGCGATTGGGGGATGCAAATATTCCCTCCCCTGGCAACCTTAGTCTCCGCGATCCCCTGAGGTGGGCGGGGCTAGGCAGCTGACAGAAGCTGCACCTTAGCTGGGGCTGACCCGGGGCGGTCCAGCGTGTAGGACTGTGCCCGGGGCCCGGGCGCGCGTGAGAGGGGGACGGGCGCGCGCGAGCGGGGGCGCGCGGGGAGAAAGACACTGGGAGGCGGCGGCTGAGGGGCGGGGAAGTGCCGAACGGCCCCGCGCCTGGCTGGGGTGCGTACAGGCGGCAGCCGCGTCGGCTTAGGAGTCCCACTGACTGGGGAACCGAACGGCGTGGACCGGGAGAAGGCGTCAGGCACCAGCAAGAAGAGACAAATTCTTTGTATTGGAAAACGTCTGTAATGGATTTGAAATAAACTTGAGGAGGGGGCTGTGGGCGCCGAGCCCGTATGGAGCCCCGGAGCTGACCACGCGCGCTAGCCCGTCGGAGGGCCCGTGCGCAGCCCGCCAAAGCCCATCTCCTCTACCAGGTGGCCCAGCTAGCTTCCCAGCCCTAGACGATTGGACCGAGCCGAGCCAGTTGGCTGGTCGCGCATCCCTTCTTTCCTGCTTTGGTCCGGTCTGGAGGATGCCTGGGGCCCCGGCAGCCGTCTAAGTAACCGAGGAGTGAAGGAGGGCAAAGTCCCGGGCGGGATGGTGCAACAGAAGAGAGGTCGCGTTGGCGAAGCCAAGCGGGAAGGCTGCCAGCAGCCGGCCGCGGGCGAGAGGGCGCGGCTCCGCCGGGAGACCCCTGGTGAGCCGGGCTGGTGCAAGACCCCCAGCGGCCACATCAAGCGGCCCATGAACGCTTTCATGGTGTGGTCGCAGCACGAGAGGCGTAAGATCATGGACCAGTGGCCCGATATGCACAACGCTGAGATCTCCAAGAGGCTGGGCCGCCGCTGGCAGCTGCTGCAGGACTCCGAGAAGATCCCGTTCGTACGCGAGGCTGAGCGGCTGCGTCTCAAGCACATGGCTGACTACCCAGACTACAAGTACCGGCCCCGTAAGAAGGGCAAGGGGGCGCCCAGCAAGGCTCGGCCCCGCCTCCCCAGCAAGACTAAACCGTCGCTTTTGGGCCGCGGGGGTGGGGGGCGCAGAAAGGCCGCCGGGGAGTCTGGGGAGCAGCGCGGGGGAGGCCCGACTCTAGGGGAGGAAGTGGAAGCCGAGGACGAAGAGGAGGAAGAGGAGGAACTGTTGGAAGTGCGGCTGGTGGAGACTCCCGGGCGGGAGCTGTGGCGGATGGTCCCGGCGGGGCGGGCTGGGGGGAGACCCGGGGAGCGGGCAGGGGGGCCGCGCCCGGAGCCGCAGTCGGAGGAAGCGGGGGGCACCCCCGAGACTTCGAGATCCTCGCAGCGCGGAGTGTCCGCCACCTTGCCGGTTGGCTCCCCGGCTCCCTCTTCCCTGGTCCCTTCGGACGAAGAGCGCGAGGAAGAAGAAGAAGGGAGGGACGAGGACGACGAGGACGACGAGGAGGAAGAGCCGGAGAAGGAGCCTCTTGGGTTCCTGCCCCGGCAACTCCCAGGTGCCATAGGCCCTGGCCTAGACTGCAACGCCCTCGACAGGGACCCGGACCAGTTGCCTCCTGCAGGGACCTCGCACTTCGAGTTCCCGGACTACTGCACCCCCGAGGTGACCGAGATGATCGCTGGGGACTGGCTTATGTCCAGCATCGCGGACTTGGTCTTCACCTATTGAGCCAGGCACTCACTAGGTGACTCAGACTCCACAAATCAGGTCGCACTCAAAAACCAGCTGTTTACATACAGGAATCAGGTATTTTTGGCCTTCAGCCCCATCAAAGGCAAAGGCTTCCGCTGTCACCCCATCCCCGACTCAGATGCCCTCAGCCATGCCTACACACTCAGCCTACCCTTCAACCCATCCCCTATGGACACACCCCACTTTCCATGACTTGCACCCAGACACGCCCCTCTCTCCATCTTTCTAGACACACCCCTCTCTCCATCCCTTAAAACACAGATACACATGGGTCGTTGCGCCTTCTATCCCCTACACATTGGCATGCTACTTTATCCATCCCATACACACACCCCTTTCTTTGTGGTGGAAGCATGGGGTAGTGGAACTGGATAGGAAACAGAAGAACCCTCTTCGAATTCCAGCTCTGCCCCTAACCAGCTGTGTGACCTTGGGCAGGTGATTTGACCTCTCCCTGCCTAAATTTCCTTATCTGTAAAATGAAATGGTTGGGATAGATGACCCCTAAGGTCCCTTCCAGCTCTAGCAATCTATGAATCTCTCCCTTATAGAGACACAGACACATCCTTCTCTCATTCCTAATAGAAACACCTTTCTCTCAATCCCTTAGGGAGGCAGCATGGTGCTGCCTGGATTGGGAGTCAGAGGATCTAAGTTCAAATTCCAGATTAAAAACCTACCTGAGTGACCTTGGGCAAATCCCTTCACCTTTGGGGGCCTCATTTTCCTCATCTGTAAAATGAGGGGATAGGACTGGGTGGCCTCTTAAGGTCTCTTCCAGCTATGGAAGATCTATAAGATCTATGATCTTATGAACCTCTCTCCATCTCTTCCACGAACAAATCTCTCCATCCCTTATACACAGCTTATTTTCCACATTCTTTCCATATATGCCCTCCATCCCATTGGATAGAACCCCCATTCTCCATGTCCTCCTACACACACACACACACACACACACACACACACACACACACATCTCATCCACTCCTCCCTCTTCTTCAAAGGGGAGGTCACATCAGGGTATACAAGCCTCAATTTCCCTGGCTGGGATTCACCCCATTCTGGCTCAGGGTTGTGAGAGAAGCTGTATTGGCCTCTGCTGTAGTGATTCTCCCTGGAGCCTAGCTCCTCTTTACCCAGCTCCATGACCCCTATTCCTGTTCTCAGTTGCTCCATAGGTCCCCCCTCCCCTCTTCCCTTTCCCTTCCTCCCGCCCCCTCCTGCAGTCTCCCTCCAAACCTCTCCCTCTCAGTGGGCAAGAGCTGAAGTTGTGACCTTGCAGCCTGCTTCCTTCATGTCCTGGACTTGCTACCTTTGAGGAAAACCTGGGCTGCTGTCCAGACACCAACCCCACCAGGGCAATCCACTCTAGACAAAGAAAGGCAGAGGACACTCAACCTCAGCCTGTAACCACCCTATCAACTCTAGGTGACTTTAGAACTCTGCCTTCTAAGAGAAACATTGGTGGGATGGTGGATTCTCTGGTTCTAAGGAGGATTTTTTCATTCTTTTGTTGAGAGGAGCCTGGGGGAATCCTATAAGATACCACTGAGGGATGATAACCCCTCTTTCCCTTCCTGCTTTTCATTTGCCCTGTTGACTCCCCTTTCCCTGGTGCACCTGGCCCCCAGTCCTCATCTGTAAAATGGTGGGGTTGAATTAGATGACCTTGAAAAGCCCTAGCACCTCATCTCTTAGCAAGGTAGTGCTGCCCAAAGCAGCTCCATCTGTGGGCCTTGCCTAAGGACGACTTTGTCCGTCATGCTCCCCAGAACAACCCAAGCCAGGCAGAGACTTCAGGATGTAGACTGTCTTGACCTCAGCAGATATCCTACCCTTGCTTGGAGTGACCAGATCTCCTTTACTGTTGGGCCTGGTGGTACCATCAAACCCTATTCCAGTGTCCAAGCTCCTTCAGGGGAGTCTTTTGTTTGGAGCTTCCTGGGAGAGGGTCAGGGCAGTAGACCTTCTCTCCTATTAAAAGGGCAGGGTAAGGTGGTGAAACAGATCAGAGAGCAGGACTTGCAGTTTAAAACCTTCACCAATCTATATCCCTCCTACACAGCCTGCTGGGACCCCTAGGAAAGCCCCCAAGTGAACTGAATACCTCCTAAGTACTCATGTCCTCACAAGAGGAGAGACAGCTAATGTCCAGGTGGGGATCAGCTAAGAGTGAGCCAGGCAGATTCTCTCTCTGCCTGGCCATGGAGTTTAGGACCCTGATGGTTTCTTCCTGCTAGGGATTGTGTCCACTGGTCAGTCTCTATTACCCCGGGTTCTCTATCAACCCTCTTCCTCCCCCTAACCCCTACCCAGTTCTTAGTGCCAAATGCTTTGATCAGTATTATCGTTCAGCTGGGGAAAGAGGCATGGAGAAGGCTTGGGGTCAGTGGCCAAGTCAGCAATCATTCAGCAAGCTCCCTGGGGCGTGCTCAGCCTCCTGAGTGTTTCCCAGGGCTAACAGGAATCATCTGCAGGCCAATGGTTAAGCTTTGGCTTGGAGGGTCCAGAGGGAAGTGACAGGAATGGTCAGGGGATTGGATTCAGAGTGAGTAACCTAGCACAAGAAGCCCTAGTATTTTGTCTACTATGCTGTGCCACTGTCCCTGTGTGCCTCAGTTTGCCCGTCTTTTGAAATGGGGACAGGTGCCTTTTCCAATGCATTTGGAGTATCTGGTTATGAAATGCAGTGCCTGGGGGACTATTCCTAGCTTATGGCTTTCCTGAGCTAAACAGAAATGCTGGCCAGGTCTTTGAAGGCCTGGATGACACTTGTATTTCTACCTGTCAGATGGTGTCTGTCCTCTCTGTTGGACAGTCTACCTCCCCACCCTATGCTATGCTCCCTTCCTTCCCCCTTTCTCTGGGCTCCTGCTGTTTGCCTCTCTCAGCTACCTGGCATTTCACAGCCTCACTCAGCTACCTGGCATTTCACAGCCTCACTCATTTCCCCTTGTCCACTGCCCTTCCTCAACCCCAATCTGCCCATCTCCCGTCACTACCTAGACTCTGCTGACATTGTGTGCCCCATTCTGTCATAGGTTCAAATACCCACATACACAGATCTCTCAGGAACAAATGGGGGCCCCTGGTCCCTCCACACCTCCTTCTGTGCCGTTCCCCACACAGGCCAGCATCTCTACAGGGATGTGCTATCCCAACCCACCTACCAGCTACCCCCCTGTATGTGGTGCTCCAGTTCCAGGCCTCCTTTCTCTCTCTTTCTTTTTCATTTCCTTTCTTTTTTTAATGTTGTATGAGTGAAGAGGTATCACTGTGTGCTGTCTTGGAGAACTAGTCTCATAGCTGAGAGGAGGATGGGGACAGACCCCTCTCTGTGTGCAAGGGGCCGGAAGCCCTCGGCTCCAGTATTGCCACCTAATACCAGGACTGAATAAAGTATATGTGCCCTGAGCCTGTCCAGCCCCATGTGTCTATTTTTCTTTCTCTTTTTTCTTCTACTTCCTCCATCAAGTCTTTACTGAGCTTCAGTTCTGCCCAGGGTAGGTATGGGAGATCAAATATGAGGGTCTCCTTATCCTTGAAAACCTGGTGACTAGTTGGGGAGACAAAACCACACCTCAGCAATACACCCTTGCCTCTAGTCAAAGTCTCCTGCTCCCCAAATTCCTCTCCAACATAATATATGTAATCCTTTATGAGGAGATAAAACCTTTCATTTACCAAATCATTAGATTCTGGAATTGGATGGGACCTCAGAGGCAATCTGGTCCAATTCCCAACTATGGCAGGAGACCTCTCTACATCAGCTTTAACATTCACCCTGTCTGAACACTTCCAGTGACAGAAGGCCCACTCCCCACCCAAGCTGCCTGTTCCATTGTGGAACTGCTCTCTTTTTAGCAAGCTCTTTCTGACATTCAACTGAAATCTGCCTCCCTTCATCTTCTAGCCTTTGCTCATTGTTCTGTCCTCTGGGGCCAAGTACAACAGGATTCATGGTACAGCCCTTCAAATACTTGAAAATGGCTATGATGTCTCCCTTAAAAATCTCCAGGCTGAACATCCCTAGGTCCTTCGGCCAATTTAATAACATAGCTACCAGTTTCCTCCATAACCTACTCACTCTCCTCTGGACATACTCCAGCACCTCAATATGTCTCCAAAAGGAGAGCCCCTAGACCTGAAAAGAGCAAGCTGAGGGTGCAGATTCCTGTGAAATGGACAGGGGAATGTAGGGACTGAGAGGCAAAGGAGAGCAGAAACTGGAATTGGAAGAGCCCTGAGTGTGGAGTCAGAAGGCCTGGGTTTGAATCCCATCTCTGCTGCTTTGTTCTTGTATGACTTTGGACAAATGTCTTTCCCACTTAGTATCTCGATTTCCCCTGTAAAGTAAAGATGCTGGACTAGATTCTCTTTAAGACCCCTTACAGCTCTTAAGTGTTTTAATCCTATGACTCTGACATAGAACCAGAAGAAGGGTGTACCTTTCAGGTCTGATAATCCATGTCCCAAGACCCATTCAAGCTTAAGCATCCACAGATTCTGTCTGCATCTGGGATGAATGAGATAAGACTAGAAGTGAGGGGGAGGGGAAACCCCGGCTATGATCACGGCGACACCTGCTGGATAAATTGTGGTAGTATCCCAACTTTTGTTCAATCCTGGAAGGAGGGGGAAGGGTGTGAAACCAGCTATCCCACCTTAAGGAAGGGAACTCCTGTAATCAATGAATAACATAGAATGTCAGAGCTGGGGGGAAACTTAGAACGTAGATTGTCATAGGTGGGAGGGGTCTTGGACAATACAATGTTATAACTGGGAGGAACTTTGGAACATAGAATGTCATAGCTAGGAAGAACCTTAGAACATAGAATATCAAAGCTAGGAGGGACCTTGGAACATACCCTGTCAGATTGGGAAGGGACCTTGGACCACAGAATGTCAGAGCTGGAAAGGACCTTAGAATACAGGATATCAGAACACAGGGCTTAGTCCTGTCTCCTTATTTTCCAGATAAAAAGATTGAGTTCTAGATGTATCAACTATTTACTGAGTTCCTGCTGTGTGACAAATGCAGTGGGGGAAATATAAAGAAGTGTAAGACAAAGTCCATAAGACAGCCTTTCCAGAGCTCAGGAGTCCATTAGTAAATATGAGACTCTAGGTGAATTGTAAAACTTTGTCCCAATTAGCCTCTCTGATTTCTTTTTTCAGATAAGGATTGGAGTAGCTGGCCATTGAAGTTCTTTCTGACTGAAATTCTGTAATGTGTAAAACAGGACTAATGACAATCCTTTTGCGACTTACCTCACAGCCTTGTTGTAGGGTAAAGTCCTAGAAGAAAGTAGATTACTTACATAGTTTGTTAAGGTTTACAAAATAGTGTTCCACAGCAACCCCAGGACGTTGAATTCTGTTCTAGTTTAAATGTCTAGCTAACACACGTTTACATAGTGCTTTCCTCAACATCACTGAAGTAAGAAGGGTTCTGTGCCTTCCAAGAGGCTTGGAGCACTGCTTCTGGAGCCAAGAGGTAGGTGGATGAATAACTGCTGTGCGCTGGGGAGATCAGAGAATCATAGGATTTAGGACTGGAGGACTGGAGGAAACTATTGGGATCATCCAGTCCAATTCTCTCATTTTACAGATGAGGAAACTGAGTCCCACAGAGGGGAAGAGGGATCTTGCCAGAGGTCCCACAGGCAGAAGGTGACAGAGTGGGTATTGAAACCCAGGTTTTCTGACTAAATCATAAATATTGGGACACAGATCCAGGACTTAAAGAATAATGCATAAGTGCCGAAAGCAAACCTGTTGCTCCCCAAGGTCCAAAGCCAACTTTAGGGAGATGAGGGTCATCATGGGCCTAGGGATACCAGGATTATATACTTCACACTTTTATAGGGATATAAATAGAAAGCACCACTGATCCTGGTGTACTTTTCAAAAGATCTCTCTAGATGCAGAACCTGGAGGCAGTATAAGATTCTATCATTTAACTATTCATAGAATCATAGACTAGCAGAACCAAAAACAAAATAAAACAAAACAAACAAACAAACAAACAAAAAACCTTGGCAATCATTGGGTCCAACTCTTTTTTACAAAGGATGAAACTGAGGCCCAGAGAAATTAAATAACTCATCGGAAGTCACATAGCTTGTGTCAGAAGTGGTATTTAAATTTAGGTCTTCTGACTTCCAAACACACATACACACATACTCCTTAATTACCTGTTTCCTCAACCCAGGTCCCAGATGCTGTGACTATGAGAAGACTGCTGAACATTTGAGGCTGGAAACAAATTACAAATGGAAGAAGCACAATAAAGTGAAGAACCTGGGAAAGGGAGGGATTGCCCCCCCACACACACACCTTCAAGCTTCTTGTTTTGGGTGGGCTGGGGGGAATCAGTCTAAGCCTTCAGAGGTGGTGGTTAGAAGGCTGAGGGACATACATAACCTATATCAAATTGCTTACCATTTTAGGAAGAGGGAAGGGAGAGAGGGAGAAAAATTCAGAACTCTAAAACTTGTAAAAAATGAATGCTAATAATTGTCTTTACATATAATTGGGGGGGAAATAAAATACTATTTAAAAAAAGAAGTCTGAGGGACGGAATATTTCTGGGTGGGGTACCCCTTCTCAGAAGAAAGCTTCCTTACTGTGATCCTTTCCTGGGACAGAAGGAGAGAAAGGAAGGGAGAAGAGTAGGAGGTAGGGGTAAAGGAAAAGAAAAGGAGAACGGAGGAGCAAGAAGGAACAAGAGAAAAAGGAAGAGACCAGAGGATGAAGGATGTCAAAGCTAGGACTCTAAGAACAGAGAATCTTAGAGATAGCAAGGAGGGGGCTTTAAAGACTGCTTAACCCAACTCTCTCACTCTGTTTTTGTTTGTTTGTTTGTTTTTGTTTTTGTTTTGTTTTTTGGTGAGGCAATTAGGGGTTAAGTGACTTGCCCAGAGTCACCCAGTGCTCTATCCACTGTACCACCCAGCTGCCCCCTAACTCTCTCACTCTGTAGAGGAGAAAATAGGTTAAGACAGAGAAGTGACTTGTTTAGGGTTATCATCAGTTGAGAGGAAAAGAAAGAAGAAAAGATGTAGAGAAGAAAGAACGAAGGAAAAGAGAAATGAGAGAAGAGGCTACTTCTAAGCTGGACATCTTCCTGAATTTCCCCAGCTTCCCTGAGCTCCCTAGCAACCAATGGCTACCCCGCCCCCATCTTCTAGCAACCAATGCCTCAGCTCAGCTTTTCTTGGGTTTCCTAGCAACAGAAAGTCAGGCCACCTTCCCAACAGGTGGGAGGTGTTAGACCCTCCTTGCAAAGATCAAGACTTACTCTGGATCAATAGTAAGGGTGGGTCAGGTCAATGGTGAGGACCCTGTACCTGGAGTCAGGACAAAGCCTAGGGAGAGGGTCCTGAGTGAC